CCCATATCTATTAGCACTTTATCTTTGGAAGCACCCTAATGAATAGGGAGACAAATAACCACATAGCACATTGTTTAAGCTTCCAGGTTTATTCCAGAGTTTATGTGTATCCTGGAATGTGCCAGAGCTTTGAGGCCACATGGAGAGTCAGACTGGGCGTTAACAAAATCTCTGGGCACAGCTGAGCATCACTCTTGCCAGTGGTCAACATTATTCCAGGATCTTCCTGTTGCTTGGCCCCACATAGAGTGCATGTTGAGTCTGCATGTAAGCCCAGAGATGCCCTATGGGCCACAGCAATCCCTGATCTCCTCAGTATGAGTATTTCCTCGTACTGGTCTCACTGAAATTTGAGAGCTTATTTAGAATTTCCTCATCAGACAGCTCCTTCGATTCTGATATTCATGTAGGAAATATTCCTTTGAATTTCAAATGTTCTTCTGGAGTATGTTTATGGGAAATCCACAGTATATAAGTGAAAGTTGAAACAAACAAAACATTGACAATTCAGATTGGATAACTACTCTCAATGTGGAATCAAAAATCTCAGGATGGAATTTTGTGGCAAAAATATTTTAGGTGTTATAAATAGGAAAAATATATACTTAACCTAGAGAGGAAAAATTCAAGAAAAATTATAGCAAAGATAGGTGACTCCAGAGAGACGAAATGGGATTTTAGGAGGACAGAATTGAAGAAAGAATGTCAAAGCTCTTAAGGAATTATTGCAAGTACTAAAAGAAGAATTAACATAAAAATTAGGTAACAAATTTAGTAATCTTATCATTTTCTGTACTAAGTTCAGTATTTCCAGGCACTATTCCAAATCTATTAATTGTCTGAATGTCAGACCAGAAATGCCCTCCAGACACCAGAAGTCCTGATGTTCTCAATGGTTTTTTCTTACTATGCCTACCAAAAGTTTGCAGACTTATACTGATTTTACCATCAGATATTTCCCCTGCTTCTCAGCATCATATGTAAATCTTAGCACTATTCCTATTAGCCATGACTCTGGAACAAATATCCATATGTGTGAAAATCCACATTATATAGAATGAGAGTTGAAGGGGAAAAAGTGTGACAATTCTACACAATTATTGTGTATAATTGGTAGTTCAAGGATCCCATAGAGGAATTCTAGAGAAACAATATTTCAGGGATGATATGAATGAAAGACATCTGAAGATAGAGAAAAAGTCCTAGAAAAATTAAAAACAAGCATAGGATCCTTAAGAAAGACTGACCCAATGGAAGATAAGGGAGGACGAAATTCAAGAAATAATATCAAAATCTATTAGGAGATTAATTTAAGGAATGAAAGGAAAACTTATTTAGTAATTAATGAACAATTTCTATAAAATTAGTACATGCCAAGCCACTTTCATTATCCTCTTTCCCTCTTTAGGAACAAGAACAACAGCTCAAGGATAAAACTACAGAAGAGAAAAGAAAATATCAGAAAGAAATCCAGGAAATGGAGATGAGAAACAGAGAAATGAACCTATCATGTATTATAATCTAAAAATATAAGATCAAAATTTTCCTATCACACAGCCTGTGACCAGGGCACAAGTGCAATGATCAATTTCAAAGATCCAAGCAATTGCCACTGAAATTGATATTATGATCACTATACTTACATTGATCCATAAATTTTACCTAGATGAAGTTGAAATGGGAAGGAACTGAGTTACCTACTAAGGCTATTTATTTCATGCTTATTGTAGTAATGATTTCAATTATCTTTAACTGGATACTGTACATCAACTCATTCACATTTCCTCTGGAGAGTTTATGTTAATAAATGATGTAATAAGTATGCCATTTACAATAGAGAGATATCAGGCAGACACTGTTTAGGGCAAAATTTTTCTTCCTCATCCACACCACAGTTCTAGACACCCTCAGCCCCATGTTCTTCTTTAAGGGTTTATTCATGCCCTGGGATGAATGCTGTGAACATAGAGGAATTAGATTTATAGTGAATAAGAATTTTGCTCATGGTTCAGCATCACTCCTAAGTGGTCAATAAGTTACATTTCTTCTAAGCTAAAGGGAGATTTGACTTCCCATTACTTTCTAAGACAACTGACTGGGTTTAGTGTGTAGAGAGTGTACAGTTTACAGCATGGTGGAAGCTTCACAGTCTATAGGCAGTTATGGTTCTCCTGGGCCCTGCCAAGGATGTGCTCTTTTCTGTGAAGAGTGGATATGTAATGAAAGGGTCAAACTGCTCTGTTGTTAAAAGCTCACTGGTTAATTACTGCCCTAGCCTCAGTCCTATGTTGGATCTTTAAAGTTAATCAAGAATGGTAAAATTGTATCTTTACTCCTGAACAA